CATGTAAAAATAAAATATTTTCCTGATTTTTCACTGGCAGTCCAAGTTTTTCTGTAATATCCATTTCTTCGGACATTTTGTTCTTTCTTTTACTTAACTCTTTCAAACCACACATTTTTCTGTCTGTAACTTTAGTTTCCTATTCAACTAATATCTTGATATTCAGTCTTCTGCAGAAGAACGCTATTTTATGGTCAATTTTGCAATTTTTGGAGTTGAAATAATCTGTTCTGCCTTGCTTGGCATGCACTTAACTCCATCCTTCCATTCTGCACTTTTACATGTGCCAATACTATTTTTCCTCAGGATTAAGCTCCTCCTCTCATGCACTCTTCCAGTCACTGTTAGGCCTACCTCTTGCCAGCTTCCTGATAAACTGTGCTGAGGGGTCAAGCAAAGTGGTTACGTAATAGCATTTGTTTTGGTGATTTTTATTGTTTTCATAGCTGCCTTTAGCCTCTGGACATGGACCGCTGATTTCTTTCATATCCAGCCATCTGATTCAATGTGCTGGTGATTCCCTAGTGTTTTATTATGGCTGATCCAATGCATTGAATATAATTTAGGCTATATGTTGGATCTTGACACAGTATCTATTAGAGCACAAGCATCTTGTGTCACTGTAGGCAAATCATTTACAATGGAGAAAATAACACACTTACATATTTAGGTGTCTAAATCCTGGCATAAAATCCATCAGCTTTAATCCTTAACTCAACCCTCACTGAAACTCACTCTGCAAGGAGCAGGGCTGAAGATAACTTCCAGGGTCTGTGGTGAAAAGTTAAGCTGCAAATGTTGTTCTAACACTTTTTCTGAGTCTAGTTTGATTCAGGTTCTTGAATATGTTCAGCCTGGAATAGAATAGGTTGAACTTGCATATTAAACACTTTCTAACACGAAGTGGAACAGTTTGGAGTAAGTGCCATCTGTACAGCCTAGCCTGGGAAGTGGTGAAGAACTATCTATCATCTTCTTTCAGACCCTGCTTCTGTAAACTTGTTAATCAGTTGCCTGACTCAATGTGAATTTCTCAGGGTGACCTTATTAGGCACATGTTTTCACTGTCCCTTTTAAGGTGGCTACATGCCATGTGTGCGAGCACATATTTCTTATTTGGCAGCTAATGGCCCATAATTCGTATGCAAGAAAGAGCTTCTACAAAATATTTGCAGATAAAAATAATTTTCTTGCATGCTGTAATAAACTGCATGGGTTGGTATCACAAATAGCATAGCACCTTAAATATAAGCTTTTCACACAGGTATCTTTTGCTTGATAATGGTTGAGACGATGTTATTCTGAAGAAAAACCATTTGGTTGGTTTAGTTTACTGAGTTGATTTGCTTCCTGCATATGAACATGTTCATGCTCTTGGGCAATTGCTGTATTATTATTAATTGGATTTAGTAGGGTAGAAAAAGCATTTGAATGGATGTTGCTTATATGTGCAGAACATATAACACTCTTGAGCCCTATCATGCTGCATTTTTTAAATGGATATCCCATCTGAATGGTTTCTTTTTCCCACTGACAAGTCATTCACTGTAGTAGTGCCAGGTTCTGTCCAGTGATGGGGCTCCAGTACATGATGTTCCTTTGACTTAGCAAGATGGTTTCTCTCTAGAGCTTTGTGTCAGGGAGTAGATTCAACAGCTGGCAGACACTGTGGCACGAATTCCCAGCCATACAACTGGGAATCTCAGCGCCAGCTGTAGAAGACCTTCTTTTCCTCACAATAATGTCGCAGGCAGAATGACCTGTAAATGAATTGAGGGGAGGGGTGAGGGGAGGTTGGAACTGGTCATGTGGAGTTGATTAACTTGGTGTTTGAAAGGTACGAAGAGTACAGAGAAATAGGAAGGCTTTAGCAGCACAATGAGAAACACACACGGAACTGGTATAATTCCTAGGTGTAAGCTCAGAAAAACCTATTGACTTCAATGGGATTATAGCAGAGCACATTTTTTTTCTCAGAAATAGGAAATTAAATGAGGGATATCATCTTTGGTAACATAATAAATGAATAAAAAAAGTAAACATATTTCTCTGAAATAGAAATTATAATTAACTCTGGCTTTTCTTCCTAGAATAAGACTAGGGAAGACAGATAGGAGGAAAAATTGTAGCTCTAGAAGGCAACCATGTTGAGGTGGTCACCTGATAGCCAACTGAAGGCCAACTTCTGAAGCTACTTCCAGCCCTTTCACACAAGGTCTGAACCTCAGGTCTTCATAGAAACTTCCTCAGCACCTCCACCTTCCCTGGCAGCTCTAGGATTCTACGGGCCGTAAGATGAGCAAAGGGAGTCTTTTTGTCTGGGCTGAACTGGGGTAGCTTTTTTTTTCATAGTAAAACTTAAATATCTTGTTTTCTCAGTATTTCAGCTCTGAAGTTAGTGGGTACCGAGGTTAAAATACAGTTGTTTGTTATTAAAAAAGAAACAAAAAACTAAACCAAGAACAGTTTGCAAAAAGGAAACTGGGAAGAAAAAAAAAAAGAGAGATTGATTTAATTCAGCTACAATCTGCTTTGCTTGCAGTTTAGGAGCCCCATAGAGAATCAGGTAAGGGTGTCTGACCAGTACTGCCTTGAGAAAATAACAGAATTATTGTTCATTCTTTTTTTTTTTATTATTGTTCCTGTTATCCAGAAAATGTTACATCATTACATTTCAATGCAGAAAAGCTAATGAAAAATGCACTCAGGGAGTGGTCACAGAAATTACAAATACCTGGATGATGGATGAAGAAAGAAAAACACTCTCCTTTTCTTTCTGTATTGACTTCCCTAGCAACATAGAATAATGTTTCAGTACTTTTGATGGCTTTTTTGTTCTGCATTGGGACAAGACTAACACTGTCCCAAAATCACCGGGAACAGGAGTTTCACCCCAGTGGAGCATGCACCCCACCAACTAGGCACTAATTCTCTATAGGGCTTTGATCTGAGCAATCTAATCACCTAGTTTCATGTGTATGTGGGAGTGAAGCCTGCTTAGACGTCCTAGTCAGAGTCTTTGTAAACAAGGACATCCTTCTCATGCTCAATTTTCATGTAGTTTTGGCAATGTACTGGGTGTTTAATCCATTTTAATTTCTGCGGCTTTGAAAGGGTGTTCTGCAGGGTGTGCTGTAAGGAAGCAATAGCTTCCATTTTAGTGAAATGGTGAAATAAGATTTAATAGCAAATTAATCATAATAAAGATAAATCTTGTGGTGATTCACGCAAAGAGCCAACAATTAAAAGCAAAAGTGCAAAGGTAGTTGGTGACATTTAATCTGTCACCTTGGTTTTACTGAAGACAGATAGCTAGAAGAAGGAGATGTCCTTCTATAGGATGACCTTCTTCAGCCAAGCAAACTCCCTGTTTTTACACTGTACCCAGAGCTGTCTCAGTAGGAACTCATTCGAATGTTTCAGGCATGCTCTTGGGCTCTAAATGAGATGGGCTTCCCCATTAAACAAACAAAACCAACCAAACAAACCTCCCAAGATGTTTGTGAACACTCCAGCAAAGATGCCTTCTCAATGTGTACCATCAAACAAAAAGGCTCATGCAATGCATCTTTCTAAATAACAAAGGATCAAAAAACAGTGTGAAAAGGATTGTTGTATTCTGTTTAAATTAATAAAACAGCAGGTCCAAAGTACCTGAAAGAGAGCAATGGATAATGAGTGAAATCTGCCTGCAGTAACTGAGCTCAAGACTGCCCCAGCACATAGCACGGTTTGATAGGGCTGCTGTAAATGCCGTTGGTCAGGTTATAACTTGTATAAATTAGTCAATTTTGCACTCCCCAGCAGCTTCATCTCCATCACGACTATTATATGACAACAAGCATTTCACAAAGCAGCAGCTTCATCTTCTAGCTCAGGTTAAGGAAGGGCAGCCGGACAGCTCCAAACAGCTTAGGACATACTTTTTCCCCAGCTACCTTCCTCTGAAACTGGCAGCACTTCAGACAACAAGCAGAAGGCATCCAAGATGTCTGCTGCTCCTTGACAAACTGCCCCCCTTCCTCTCTTGCTCATCTTTTTTGCTCCGCAGCAGTACCCTACTGTGGAAGCGGAGAGGTTTCCTTCATCACAATGAGGCCGAAGAAGCCAAAGGCAAATGGCTTTTTTGTGACACCGCTGGTGCTTCTGAGCAATCACCTCAATCCTATGAATCCTGAAAATCCCTTTTTTTTTTTTTGTTTTTGCCAAAAATACCACTGGCAACTCTGGGCATTCATTATGTGGTAATGCAATAACTCAATTTCCCTGACAATTGTTTGTTTGCTTGTTTTCAGCAGCTCCTTTGCTCTTGAGCAGTAAATGGGATAAGCAGTGTAGGTAGGACATCATTCTTGTTCTCATCAAGACTAAACAGTGTGAAAAAAAAGCCCCAGTTATCACACAAATCTGCTTAAATAATTCTGCAGGTACCATGACTGAAATTACTCATGTTCTTCACTGCAGTGGCTTTGTTCTGCTTCCTGCTATAGCTCAGCCACAGACATTTGCAAAAAAAAGAGAACAAAACCAAGCATCATTCAACTTAACAACTGATGTAACATACATCAGACCTTCTTTCACAAGTCTTAGCAGCATCCTATTTGTTCTATTTGTTTTTTAAAGACACACTGCTAATGTAAGCCATGCTGGAATTCATGGGGCAACCACATTCCCTCCCTCTTCTCCAAACCACCTTCCTCTGGATATCACCATCTGCACCACCATCCACAAATCCTAGCTCTCCCTTTGTTTTAAATCCGTAACTGACAGGGTTCACAGATGACACAATGTGCATCTTGCTGCCCTAGCCTTCCCTTTCTGACAGCCATTCCCACCTCTCTCATGCTATTGTCACATATAGGAATAAACTGATAATCCAGATGAATAACTTACGAACAGCCCACCAGTGTTCAAAAGCCACCTGAGTCCTAAATGCAACTGTGTCTTAGGTGAATATTTGAGGTTTGTGTACAGCTACTTGGGACCCACTTCTGGCCATCTGTTTTCCACTCAGTCTTAATTGCTATGTAAAGAGCAAAAGCACACTTGCTGAACCTCACAGTTTTCTCTATTTTATGTTGCAAGCTGGTGGAACAGTAGGACTGTTGCTTTCTTATGAAGAAGATGCCAAACACACCAGCAACATGACATTAATTGCAACATGAGCAAACCATTTACCTGATTCTCTTCTTTTTGGTCATAAGTGCACTCAAAGCCAGAAGCTGATACAGCAATGTACATAGCTAAAAAATGCAACACTGAAGCAAAAAATAGCACATCCCTTCCCAAATCCTGAAATTTGTTTCAAAAGTTCTGCATTAACTTCAGCAGGCACAAGGAAGTTGAAAATGTTATTGGTAATATAAAGTCTTTTTAAAGGCCTGGTTAAATTCATTAAGCCCACTGACCTCTTGCTTAGTGAATTCTATGGGCCACATGCTCATTACATATAGAAGTCCAGCATTTCCGATGCTATTTAACTTACTGTTTCTCATGGCAAACAGGCTGAGGGAAGAAGAGCTTCAGGGCCAGTTCTCGATGCAGTCTTTATAATGAGGTTTTCATAACAGAGCACTGTGCATGTTCTGAAGAAAGTCTCTTACTTCTGCATCAAGTGCTGTAGCAGTCTGAATGGTGCCACAGGCATCATGATGAAGAGTGCTTTTCTGCATCTGTTCTTCCATAAAATGGGAAGTACCAACCTCTGCTAACTCAGGGAGTCCCCCAGCCATCCTGTAGCAGGTCTCCAGGCCAGTGGTCAGCCCAGACTCACAGTGCCCCTAGGCTGGCATCAGACTGGCTCTTCCATGGAAGCCATGCTCTGCTTGGGTTTGTCTACAGTAGCATTACAGTTCAGAATAGGACTGTGCTTCTGAAAATAGTTTCTTGATTCTCCCCATTTACTGTGCTTGGGTTCACACTGCCTAACACAAGGTTATTCTGCAGGAGCTAAACTGAATGATCTGCTTCAGCTGCTAATGGGCATTGGGTCCCTGGGAGCACATTATAGCTACTCTGAAATAAAAGCTCCTGAAACACATGGAGTGCAGATGTTGGGCTCTCAGCACCATTTTGGTCCTAATGTAGACACAGCCTTCATTCGCTGTTTGCACTCTCATGCATTTTGTACCCAAAGTGCCGCAATGTGCGCAAAGCAACCTGAATAATACATAAATTCTACCTAACTGGATGCACGTCTATAGTGTGAAGTTAGTGAGTAGGACTGTAAACTAGCCGTATACTAACTCTTTCAGTAGACCACTCCTAGTGGCAGTTTACTCTTCCCCAAAAAATAGTATATTCTCCTTCAATGAAAACTAAAAACCTACTTGACAGCACATTCAATTTCCTATGCTTACAAGCTTCCAGATGACAGGAATGCTGAATGATTAAATATTAATCTGGATCAACTTTCAGAGAGGTTTTGTTAAACTGTTTCAAATTTCGGTGTATTGACATTTAGAATTAAAGGGGATGTACTTTCTTTTTCTTTTTTAAAAAATAAACTGCAATTTACCATGAAAACCTGAGCTCTGAATCAGAGCCAACAGAGGAACTCAGCTTGGTTAAATGGTCCATTTAAAAAAATCCAAAACTGGTCAATTTGAATTATTTTTTTTTTCCTGAGAACCACAATGTGCATGATCACAGAGATCATACTGATATTGTTCTTCTCTCATTGTCCTTGATTTTCAGCCAAATGGCTGAGGAAAACCCTACAGACCGCAAAGCATGTAATGCAGCAAATATAATGCATTTAGGTGTGAGGCTGAATTTACACAATGAATTGTATTTAAGAAGCATTAACCCTTGAGGTTGAAATTTTGCCCAAAGCTGAACAGGATCAAGCTTAACACTGTTGGATTCTTTTTCCATCTGCCTGGCTGCCTGACCATGTCTTCATTCAGTAAGCATCGTTTCATCTCAGAGCCTTGGGTGCTTATGTTTGCTTTGAGAAACAAAACCTGATTTCCAAATAGCCTGCAGTTTATGCTCTGTATTTCTTTCCATTTATAGAATGCTTTATGCCTTAGCATTTTGAGTGGATAAATTCCGACACTAGCAAAATACCTTTTCAGCCTGAGCATGGCTGCTGGGATTGGTTATGCCAACACGGAGGCGGACATATGTTGATTTTTACATCCAAACCTTTGTATACAAGCAATTTCTGAACATGTGGTCTACAATCAGGACAGTATAGCTGCCTGGGTGTGAGGTACACTGCCAGCCACCTGAGTTTGGCAGCTTGGTCAGATCAGGGACAGTTTAATACGTAGGTTTGCATCTGCTTTCAAAAAAGTAGTTGAGATCTAACTATATATGTTGTTCTCATAAGATTCCTGTTTCGATAAAAGCTGTTAACATGTATACCTGGGTCTCATTTTCAAATCAAAGAGCCAAGTGGCTAATAGTTTCTTCCTTGACAGAACACCCCCAATGACACTGGAGATAAACAAAACGAGAAGAAAATATACACCTTTGTACATAAAAAGCTTAATGAGGTTTGTTTTTCAGGGTAGATTTGCATACACTACCTTAAAATTGAGTTTAGCTTTAATTGGAAGGTGGCCTGCATGCCATTGGTTACGACTGTGCTCCTGCAACTGGATACAACAGATTATAGAGACCCAAATTCATTGCTCTGACTCTCAGCAAAGCTGCAGTAACATAACCTGACATCTAATAAAAGAGCTGTAACTCACAGCAATATTATTTCCACACAAAAAAAGGATATGGAGTGTTTATAAACCACAGTAGCTCTGTGATGTCTTCTGTGACTTTCTTAACACCCTTTGTTTATTTGACTTTTGTGATTTTCCAACCTGGGTCATTTTCCTGAAAAAAAAAATTGAAAAATTTGCTTTAGTATAAAAAGTACATCCTGCTTGCAACAAGTACATAATTCATACCTATAGTTTGCAGAAAACCCTAAACTTTCCTTCTCATAAAACAGAAGATAAATACAAAGAAGATGTTATATTTACGTCATATATATACATGACCACTGGTACAATAGATCATTAATATTTTGCACATGACCGCTTTACTCACAACGAATTTGAAGGGAAACCTACTGTATTTTCTCCACTGCTGTCACTGATACAACTATATTATTCTTCCCCACTGCATTGCTACCTGCAGTACCGTTTCTCATCTCTGAGAACTTTGTTCGCATCAGCTGTCCTGAATGGAATGAGTTGCAGTCACACAAATAGAAGTTCAGCTTAATATTTTCCTGTTACCAAAAAAAAAAAAAAAAAAAAAAAAGAAAGAAAAACTCACTCTTACCTGAAGTGAGCAATGCTTCATTTCACTTACTTGGCTTTCCACCATCCTTTTCCCTCCCTACAGCTACAAAAATAATTATCTCCATGACAGGTACCAAAATTTTGGTACCTGCTTCTCTCCCCCTTCAAAAGCACACTCAGCAATACTTTGTGACAATTGATCAAAAATATTACAATGATAGTTTTCAACACAGTCTTCACAGAGACTTTCATTTACCTACCTCTGGGATTTCTGTCTGCTGTGAGAGCTGAGGAGTGGGAGTCAAGCTTCTAGGGGCTTCCTGTTATTCCCAAGTTTCTATACCCATCTCCACAGTCTACACACACCCCAGGTGTCCAAAATTGATGGGGTCCATCACCTTCCCTCGCTTTTTGTGATTCCTCTTTTTTTTTGCATAGGAACAACACATAAACCTCAGGTTCTGCCTGATGCCACGGTTTCTAGGCATGTCCTCTGCAAAGGCTCCCAGTTTACCAATTGGTTCCTTCCAGACACAAAAAAGACAACTTTTTACACCAGTTTACAGCTAAAACAGCCTGGCTGACTGAGGCACCAAGGTGAAACTACAAAATTACAGCAGTAATACAGTTTAATACAGGTACTTACTGCCTAGAATCATGTCCTATTTCTTTGGTCACCAGTGCAGTAATTTCTGGATTAGATGATACAAATCCTAAACCAAAATCATCATGGCAGTAATAACAACTGAGATGATAAAATAATCCAAAGAAATCAACAAAAAAAGCAATGCTAAGAGTCATCTTGTCATGAGACTAGAGGAAAAGGTAACCTTTTCGTCTTCACAGCTCTGGGATAACAATCCGGCTTTTTTTCAGGTTTCAGATAAAAAACCTTTAAGCATTGTATTTAAAGTGCTTTTAAGTTTACTACTTAAAAAATAAATAGATTTCAGAAATTTTAAACTCAATGAAAAAGTTAAACTGAAGTGCCCCAGCTTCTGTGTTTGCCCAGTCGCTGCCATTGCAGTTGCCATCTGTGGAACAGAAGCAATGGCAACACTGGTGGGATGGACCAGGAAGAAATGGGGAAACACACCTGCAAAACATTTAATTGTACTCCCTTTGACATAACTGGGACTTCAAGTGCTGATTTCATTTGGAGTTGGAGCTGGTCCAACTAGAAACTAGACGTTTTAAACTAAATGATCAATGAGGCTATACCCACACTCCCCTATAAAAAAAGCTTCTTGGAGAAAACCATAGAAATGTCTTAATTGCAGTAGGAACGCCTGACTGTAAATCAAACTCAATTGCATTTAGTCCAAGCAAGCCTCGAACAAGAGTGAGAAGGAACAGTAGCTATCCCACTCTTCTACAGGCATGGGCATGAAACAAAGCTGCCATTTTACCTTCTGTGAACCACCTTTTCCTTTTGGAAAGGAGCCTATAGCCTCACTGCTGCAGCTCTGGGTGCTGTGTGAGGCAGGGAATGGCACACACGAGGTTTCCTACAAGAAACATGAGCACAAAGCAGCACAAAAGCAACATTTCTGGGTGATGAAGGCTGGAGCCAGAGACCCAGCTTTCTGCCAAGACTGTACATATACGATCACATCCAAAACAGGTAACTGCTTCATGCAACCTTTTTTCCATCTGTTTGAAAAGGCAGAATTGTATTATTTTGAGGGTAAGTGCGTGCCATGGACACCATAAATGGCATTCTGCTATTGATCTTCACTATCACGCTTCACTATCATGAGAATTATTGCATCTAGTAAAGAATTTGCAACTTGGTGGAATTTGGAGGGAAAAATATTATTTAATACTTTGGACATATTTGAAAGTGGAATTACACCTGTACAATCATGCTCACTATTCACTTCTGGGGACATACCAACAAACACATACAAGCAGGGCTTCATTCAGGTCAAGCTGAAAGGTAACCTCTGAAGATAATAGTACCACATCAGATTGTGCACAGAACTGGACTCTTAATGTCCACAGGCTTGTCAAATTACTGGTTATGAAATAAAAGGTAAAACAAATGAATACCTTGGCGTATTTTAAGTCAAAACATTTTGACAAAATGCAAGCTATACACAAGTGAAGCTAAATGGATAAACAGAATAGGCACAGAAAAGAAAATGCATGAAAATCTCATGCCAATGGAAACACATCCCAGGCTGTCAAGCAGCAAACAATTTAAAATATTGCCATATGAGAAAGGCAAATGGTTTCAAACAGTTCTTTAGTATTGCTAAAAACAAGCTCAGATATTGCAATGACTGTCTCACTTCAAAACTCTAGTGGGAGAGTTGAGGAGAGTGTGAATCACGCTTGGAGAGCATGCAAGAAGCAGAGCCAAGATGGAGCTGAGAAGGACATAAGCAAGGTTGAATGTGTGGTCCTGTTTGTTTGTCTTTTCATAGTGCAAGAACAGTACAAAATTAGAAGGTGACATATTTAAATTAACAATTACTTCTTCAATGTTACCTTGAAAATCAAATAGCCCAAGAGCAATGAACTTGATGTATGCTGTAGTGAATGTAAGCAATAATAGTAAAAGTGTATGTACACACAAAGAGTTTCTAACATCTACAGATAGTAACAACAAAACTATATGCTGCTTTCTTTGAGACATGCAGAGCTGGCTCCTTGCAGAGACAATGGGCTGCCTGGGATTGGCAGCTTTTATCAGATTTGATGTGACGTACTCTTGCAGCTGATCCACCAACTGAGAAAAGACACTAATTAATACATCTATAATCTAAGAAGCAACAATCAAGACAGATGCCAGAACCAGCCAGAAGTTTCCCCAAAGGGGAGGTGTGGGGGGGATGATGTTAACTGGCATGAATGCCAGAAAACACAATAAATAAATTAAAAGGCGTAAAGACTGACAAAAACCTGGACCCAGGCTAGCCACAGAGACATTCTGGAGAAACTGGCAAGAGATACAGCAGGCATCTCAGGAAATGTATTTCAGCCCTTGTAAGTAAGTTGCAACTTGGTGTAGTACCGAGGGTGGTGGTGGTGGTGATGTGTACAAAGCCATCACCATTATTAAACCCACAAAAGTTAGAACCGTGATGTTTCCTGTTTGCACTGTGCAGCGGCATCCTGCGGCGCTGTACACGCGGGCAGACACTGAACACAGGCTATTATCAAAAGACTTTTACATTTTCCCAAGCGCCTGCTCGCAGATGGGAGACAGACAGGGAAATGGCTGTGCACGAACGTCTGTGAACGTCGCTCCCCACTTTCGCTCCCGAGGAGTCCTGAAGGTGCGTGTGTGCCCCTGCACACGCAAACCCCACTAGCGCCTGGACCAGGGTCCGTGCACAATCCCCATCTCTCTAAAGCGGTGGGGGCTGCTGGGCGATCCTTCTCAACGCGACTCCCCGTCGGGCTCCCGGGACGCGGTCAGGCAGCAGCTGCACTGGAGTCAGGCATGAACTCGGTAAAACAGCTCTCCCTTGTTCCACACGCACTGGGAGCTCGCTGACAGCACTCACCTGCCGGAATCAGGCTGCGTCTGCTGCACCGAGCCTGCGAAAGCAGCGCGAAGAAGTAAACTTACCTGACACCAGCAGCGCGACTGGGATAAGTCCATCGACAGGGAGAGCGCATTCGCTGTTTGAAAGTGCGTTTAAATTAAGGCTCGGGTTTAGTTTTTGTGCAACTCAACGCCAGCTGCTTGCGGCCGGGAGCTTACTGGCGCAGGGCCGCTAGCGTGAGCGTTCCTCTGAAGAGGGGATGAGATTAAATATCTTAATAACCATATTAACGCTGTTACCTCCTGGCCGCTTTGCAGCGGGGCGCACCCCGGCGAGGATGATGGCCCGCGGGGCGGATGGGGGCCAGCGCTGCCCCTGCGCTCCCCCCGCCCGGCAGCGGCGGGGCGGGAGCTCTCCCCAGGGATGGGATGGGGGGGGGGGGTGCCCCCGGCGGCAGGCGGCGCTCCGCGGCCGGCACTGGGTGCTGCGGCGGCGGGGCCGCGGCGATCTGCGGCGATCCCGGTGGAGCTGGGAGCGGGGTGCAGCGCCGGGATGGAGCGGAGAGCAGCCGGCTCCTTCCCCGATCCCGGCGGGAAGGAGGCAGTGCCTGAGGTGAGAGGGGGCCGCGGGGCGGGTCGGGGGCACCTGGTGGCGAGGGGCTGTGTCGCCCTCCCGGGTCTGTGCGGCGCCAACTTTGCTGTTCGCAGGCAGCAGCGGCCGCGAACTTGCCGGGTCCCCTCCGTGCCCCGAGCCGCGCGCGGAGCGAGGGGCGCAGAGAGCTCCCCGACGAGCCGCGGCCGCCCCGCCCCGTCCGTCCCGGTCCCTCCCGCAGGGGCTCGGCAGGACCCCGCTCCCCGTCTGCCCCCGGCCCTGGCGGCGCAGCCCGCGGGTAGGCGTCAGCCCTGGGTGGCGCGGTGGCCCCTGCCGAGGCTCCGGGCCAGCCCTGCCCGGGCACGACGTCCGGCGGCCCGTCCTCCCGCACCCACCCCGCGAACGGCGGCAGAAGGTAACGGGTCTGGCGGCGGTAGCGGGGGGGGTCGGTAGCGCTCGGGGCTGTGAGAGGGCACAGCGTCTGCTTGTGCCTTAACTGCCTGAGAATACTTTTCTGTTTGCTTGCTGGCTTGGGTTTTTGGGGTGGCGTTTCGTTTTAGTCACAGAAGCGGGGTGCGTTGAGCTGTCAGTGAAATGGCGATGGTGTGCCGGGGCACGTAACTTCACAGGAGCCCCAAATCCTTTAGTTTTTCGCTTAGACAGAGCTCCCCCTGGGTTCCCGGGTCTTTCGCGAGGTTTACACAAAATTAAGTCTTCAGTCAGGTTGCAACATCTGTGAAATAATACGTGTAGCTAACGTGACTATGAATTTCGGTTTAAACTGTAAGCAAAATGTGTTCTGAATATGCATGTCAGTCATAGTTAATGTTTGCTAAATATGTTACTAAAAATTTGAATGCATATTCTCAGTAAGATCAAGCCATAAATTGTGAAGGAATATCAAGGGTCTGTCTCTATTCAGAACCACACCATTCGGTTTTTAACATACTAGGTTCAGTGTTGGCCCTGAAAACAGGGGTTAAGATGTATCCAAGGAAGAAGGTTCTTGTCTGTAGGACCCTTGACGAGCCACTTCCAGTGGAATCTGAGTGGCGAGCTCTCCTGTTTATGCAGTGCTTCTGCTGGAGTTACTTTTGCAAGAACTTCTTACTGCACCTTTCTTTCCCGCGGGGGGAAGATTGGCTGGGTCTGTAACAGTAGCAAACCTCCACCTGAGTGCTCGTTTTAAGTTCAGCCTCCAGCACCAAAGCTATTTGAGAAGGAAAGGTGTCTTTTTGAGTCTGCTTATTTCCTGCCCCTCCACTCCCCCGGCTATTTCCATGGTTCTTAAATGACTTGAAGATGACCTTGAGAGGAAGAAGTCAGCTTTGCTCAGAGGACTTCAGGCTTCTTTTATTTGCTCTTCTTAAAGCTTCCTTAAAACCAACAAGCAGAGCATTTGGAGGGAAACCTGCGCCCCGTCACTTTCCTTACCTTAACTAAAAGCTGATAGATGTTCCCACTTGTTTTGGAAAGGTTTGTAGCCAAGCACGAAAGATCGGATTTGACACTGCTAAAGTAAAACATGAGGTAAGGCAAGGGAGGGCAGTCCTTTTTCATACATCACCCCTCATGTGGAAAAATTGGGTTAAAAACTATGTGAACTTTCTTCTTTTTTCCCCATGACACTTTTATTTTGGTGGGTTATTCGGTGTGTCTGTTTCTGTGAAAACTCAAGACTTTTGCCTTTTAAAAAATATTAGCAATATTACCATATATTTTCAGGCTGCACTCACTAGGAGATTAACAGCACTTGGCCTTGTGCCTCTGGTCTTGTGCCTAATAATACATTGTGGGAGCACTGCATTAACCGTCAGTAAATGTCTGTCATCTCTTTGGGCTTAATTACAGAATGGTTTTAAAACAGCACGCAAAGGAAAGTTTCAGCTCATCTTTTAGATGTCATACAGCCCTGTGTATGAATAATTCTCATAGTGCCTGGATCTGTTGGCAGTGGCCCCATTAAGGGAATAAAGCCCTGCTTTGTTTATGTGGCTTTTGAAGCCCTAAAATTTTGGGGCTCATTTTTTTATTTCCCTTTAGCAGCTCTGTGTTGATAAAATAGACGAGAAGAGTTGCATTTCTTTGCTGAACAGGATGCTTAGGCAGGATGGTCTTCGGATGCTCCTCGTCTTTCTCTTTGTTGTTGTGTTTGATTCTGGGAGAAATCCTTTTAAATGCCTGACTATGATTTCAGGGCAGCCTAAGAAATTGCTCCCAGGCAATTGTGCCTTACACTGAACCCAGTGTTGTCAGCAGTCAAACAGGATCAGTAATCAAGCTGGTGTTGGATGGGTTGTGAGAGATCATGGAAACATTTGTACTTCTCTAGTACAAGACCTGTCTAATTAGACAGCCGAGAGCCAGAAAAGCTGATCAGAGTGGACAGTGCTATAGCTAACCTGTGCTAACGTTGTGCAATGTTGGTACCAAGTAGGAGTGCTCAGATGGTGAATTATTCCACAGTATCGTCTTTTGAATGCTCAGCATAGCTTTTAGCTTGTGAACTTGCATGTAGACAGCTATTTAATTGCTTCTTTTGAGCAATTGTTGGAAAAACCAATCTGGATGTTATATCACTGTGTCCTCAGATTGTTTGCAAGGAAAAGAGGCAGCATTTTAAGACTAAGCTCATGATAAAAGTAAATGTTCAATTTGAACAGTAATAAGGGAAGAAAGAGAAAACTGGAGGCAGTGAAAATTCTTAAACATTTTTTAAAGGTTTAAGTGACTGAGGAACCTTTCTCCTATTTTAAAAATGACATAGGCAGTCAAAGGCCAGAGTGCTAAATCTGTGATATTGATGGGTCTCACAGGTGGCTCAGAAACCTTGTCAGATATGTGTGATAAGGACTGAGGTTGTTTCTTTGCAAGTTTTCTGTAGCTCTACTAAAAAGTGAAGAAGCCGTTATCAGCTCTGGCCATGTACCTCTTTGAACATTCAGGGTGCCTTGCATTGAGTAGCTTATTTGCTTAATTAAGCCATCAGTTTTGAGTTATGTGACTTGCATGTTTCCCTACTTAAATTAATGTCTTCATCAGATTGATAATTACACCTTTTATAATCAATGGACCTTAATGCTTTGTTTGCATCAGACCTTTTTAAGTACCTATTAATTAAGCCTGACAACTTGGAGTTACTTTGTACTGCTTTCCCAGTGTAGTCTTATTCTGTTTCACAGCTGAACCTACATCCCATTCCAGGAGGCAGTTTAGCCATAAAGGGAAGTGATACCCTGTTGCTTCTGTTTTCTTGAGTAGTGTCTTGCTTGTGGAAGACCTTTTCCTTGCTCCTTGCTTTGTTTCTTTTTCAATGGGTCTGAGATATCAAGGCAAATTAAGGTTCTGTGCAGGTTAAATGGTGAGCAGAATTAAAAAATATTATTTTGGAAGACTCTGGCACTGGTCATATTGGCTGACGCAAGCCAACTGGCTTTCTGCTGACTTCCCATGAGAGAAGGGCTGGAGTCCCTCTGCCCTTCTGCCCTTACCAACTCAAAAATCATCCGTGATTCCTTAATAAAAGCTGATGTGCTCTAGGCTGTGTGCTTTACATTTTAAATCCTTCAGTGCTTTCTGGAGCATTATTCTTATTAAATATTTACAATCTCTTTATGGTCTGTTTCGAGTTTTTTTTTTCCCTGGAAAAAGATGAGAAATATACAGTCTCCCAGCTTCTTAACTGGAACTGGTATCTTTGATAATCATTCTGGCTGTACCAGCATATTTGCTGTCTCACAATCATTTGGTGATAAAATCTAAAATTTTAAAGCAAATCAGAGGTTTGTGGTATTTTTTTTGAAATTACAGAAAACTGAGAGAACAGTTTAAATTACTGAATCAAGTCCCTTTAATGTGTTCCTAGTCCTGAGTAGAAAAGATCTCAAATGATCTCTTTCTCATTGTCTTTCAGGATTCTAAATAACTACATTAAAAATGAAGATAAGTAAGACTGTTAACTGTGATGCCAGCTATTGGTAAAAGTAAACATAAATTCACTGTGTTTGCAGAATATCTACCAGATAATGGTTCTCCATGCTCTGTGCTATTTGGTTAACTAGTGTCTTTTGTTTCACGAGCTCTCTTGGTAGCACTCGTGAAGTTTGTTGAAAACAAGGGATCCAACTAAAGCATGTAAAATTAGAGTTCTTCACAACTGGCAGGAGGCAAATCAATATTAGACAAATGGGAAGGAACATGAGCATTTAAAAGGAAAAATGTACTCAAGATTCTAGGAATATTAAGGCATCAAGATGAAACAACAATAATGTATTAAAAACATATCCTTTCAGTGTTGTTCCAAAAGGTGAAGAATTACACGTGCTGGTAATTATGGAAATTATTCTTGTCTTCTCTTTCAGAGCTTTGTGTTTCTTGAAGAAACAAATAGTGTTCAGACCGAACACAAGAAGCACTTTATAAATATCAGTGGTACGGGTTTTTTTGACAATTGAGTTAGAACTGTTTGTCTCAGCCTTCTATAAATGGCTCCATTAGCAAAATAAAAAGGCTGATACCTACTGAGCAGGGAATAATGCAAAAGATTCAGCATTTCCTATGTGTAGGGTTGTCTTGTGCCAGGGTGCCCACTGCTCACCCTCGAGTGAATAGGAGCTCCATGGGAACAGCTGTGAGAGTGTTGGTGATACCCTTCTCCATCTGAACTCTGTCACTCCCCAGGTGGGAATGGGTGCTGGCACACAATAGAACCATAGAATCATTTAGGTTGGAAAAGACTGTTAAG